CTAGACAAATCTCAAAACCCTATTATTAAGAAAGCCTTCCTACCGGTAATTAACAAGACGGTAAAAAGTAAGTGATACAATGAACTTGACTCAGTACAGAAATCTACAAATACAACACTATCAGATATTGAGAATAATGACAAATGTCACAGATATATGATAAATTTGAAAACATGTATTTATAAAGCATTGGATTAACTCAATTAATGATGATAACAGACAAAACACTAATACAAAGACAAACCTGTGGACTTACAAAATTTTAAAATAATTTTTATTTTGGAAAACTTTTTAATAAAGCTAAAAAATAAAGAACTGAAAAGTACTAACTAAATTCAGACTGAGTAATCACAGTCTAGAAATTGAAAAAAGATGATACAACAGAATCAAAAGTAGAGACAGAATCTGCAAATAGTAAAATAAAAATGATATTGAAGATGAACATCACTTCCTCATAATATGCCCAGTTTATAATTATACAAAGCTGAAAGGATATCTCTGACTTTATAAATCTGACACCTGAAAATAAATTCATAAAAATGTCAAATAATAACTTAACAATTCCTTTGGTTCAATATCCGAAAAACAGTTTTGTTATTAGACAGCAGCACCTACTTAGTCATTGACTTTTTAGCTCCGCTGTCGACTTTGTCGAGCGGAGCTTATCATATGAGTGATTGTCCGTCGTCGTCATCGTCCGTCGTCCGTGTCAATGTTTTACTTTTTCGACTTCTTCTTGAAAACTACAAGCCTGAATGCTTTGATACTTAGTGTATATGTACCTTGGATAGACCTCTCTCAGATTTGTTCATTTCATGTTGATATCTTAAATTCTCTAATTTTGGTGAATATTTTTGTCATTTTTGGTAAAAAGTGATATTAGTGACTTCTTGTTAAAAACCACAAGTCCAATTGCTTTTATATTGCATATATAGGTACTATATGTGGTCCTCTCTCAGATTTGTTCATTTTGTAATGATATCTTTAATTCTCTAATTTTGGTGAATATTTTTGTCATTTTTGGTAAAAAGTGACATTTTCAACTTCTTGTTAAAAAACGCAAGTCCAATTGCTTTGATATTACATATATACATGTAGGTACTATATTTAGAAATAGTTTCCATTGGTTGGCAGCAATAAAATGTTAGTAATAAAATACAATAAAATGTCAGTTATGAGAGATTTTGACTTGATTTTTGGTGTGTTTTATTGTGAAGATGCATTTGTTCACATTACTTGGATCCTCAATAAAAGTATAATGTAAATGAGCTTTGCAAGACAAATTTTCAGAATGAAATGTAAGACGTGTTATTTTGTATGAAAATACTCTGTATCACCAAGATACTAAATTATGTTTGTCATTACTGCATTGTAGTATATAAAAACAGTCGTTATGGCTTGCTGGGTGGTATATCGAGATAATGATAACGTAGCAATTATTATGTAAATTAGCTCTCAGAAAATATCTTATTAAAAATGTATTTAAGTTTTGTGTCTTAAGCAAGTTATTAGTAATTCTGGGGGGAGGGGTGAGTTACAATGCATGTCACACAACTTGCTATGTTGCTTGGATGTGTACCACTATACCATGTACCATATATCTATGGGCTCGGTGTGAGCTGCTGTGGTCGAACAATCTACATTTTGAGGAAATCCTGAACAACTAAATTGATATGTTGCACATATAAGGGGTAGTCTTGTTGTACTGTTTCAACAACTAGCCCAAAGTACAGTTTTCTGAAAGTTTTTGACCTTTGTTTTCATCAATGATGGTTGTCAGGTATTGACAATGCCCCTACGTACATTATTGATTATATCTCTAGTATTAAGTATAAACATGTAGTCTTAGTAAGATAGATGCATTTACTTAATTAAATATTGATTCCATTCAAGTTGAATGTTTAATATTCAGAATGAAGTTACACTCCACTAACTTAAATTGTTATTTTCATATGCACATTCTTGTTGAGTGAGTCTGAAAGTGACCAACAGCAAAATAAAGTTTTGGTTTTTTACTCACAATGCATAAAATAAATTATCTTTTTAATTTGACCATTTGTGGGTTTTTTTTGTAATACAGCATCAGTGTAATATTTTCAATGTATGAAAAATGAATTTATTTTGATTAATAAATAAAGTTTTATGTATTCATACATGTGTGTATGTGTTCTACTGAAGTTGAATTTTAATTCAACTTATTTGTTGATTGTTTGCTAATAAAATAAATACAATGTTTATAATAAATACAATTATGTTTGAACGGAATATGGTGGTCAAGTTTGGTCGTACAGGTCCAAGAACATTGAGTTGTACAAGTTCAGATGCAAACAACTAAATATATGCAATAACTGCTGTAGTGATTATACAAAGTATTTCTGATGTTATATGTGATCCTTGTCTTTAAGGAAACAAAGTTCACATTCCTTTATACATGGTTATAATAATATGAGGTTATTACAAGAATACCTCAAAGTATGCACGAAGACAGTACAGTGGCAGTTTTGACAGACACTCAGCGAAGGTCGATGCGACGGCATACTGTCTGAGTGCATACTTTAAGATATCCTCGTAATGACATTATTATTATACATCTTTTCCTTTCAAGGATACATCATGGGAAAGCCGAAATCCAAAATGTTTAGAACAGAATCACTTTTTTGTATGGAGTCTGGTCAAACCCTGATGGCAGCCATGTTTGTTTTCATTATTAGAGGACGCTTGAGTGCGTAATCATTCCATATTTGGAATTCGCATTTCCTAATATGGTAGAATGAAAATACCCCATAAAATACCACAAAATTACGGCATGCTGTGACTCATGGCGTTACGGTGACAGATGTATAATAATATTGTTTTAATACCTTGATTTTAAAAACTCCAAAAGTTGTCTGGATGTTATAAAAGTTGTCAAAAATGGAGCTATTGTCCCATGGCACCATTAAATAGCATTCTTTTGTAAGACGTAGTTTGAGAATCTTCCTCGTATTTTTTGAAAATCGGCATTTTAAAAACAATATCATAGAACACAATGTTGAGAAAATTGTATTTTTTTAACATTTTTTAAAACCCAAATTTTAAAAATAATTTGAGGACAAAAAAGTACCATATCAGTCACAAAATATAATTTGTTCAGCCTATGTCACCAGCTTACAATTTGAGATGTGGCATACTATCTCTGCCATAAAAACCTGTAATAAAAGCGTCATAATACTGACAAAATGGCAACCATTCAATGATAAAGCTACGAACAATACCAAGTGGAAATGTTGTCTTTATACACAGGTTATTCATACATTATGCCCTAGGACTACCTAAGAGTGGTCACTATAGGCAGGTAACTTTTAATTTGAGGTGGTCACTAACACAGGTTTGACTGTAATTCTATTGTCCACTGTGGTGCACCTATGGGCTGTTAATGGCTTTTTCGTGTGAATTGGAAAGGGATTTTCAATTGCCATAGTAAGAATAATTTACATATTTTCTGAAAAATATGTGCAATTTTCCCCAAAACACAAATTTTGTTTGAAGCTTGTTCAGTGTTTCATGATCTCGGAAACTGTTTTTTACGAAATTAATCCTTTATATTGGCATGACAGGCTTTAAAATTTAGCTTACTGGATACATACAAATGAAATGCAATATTGTCTTTACATTAGTTGACATTTGTGAGTTGAAATTTCCTGTCATACATGTAATCATGGATCGTTGTGACTAGAGGTAGGCTCTGATTGTAAACTTACATGCAAATCTGTGCAACAACCAGAAGACTGTATACATACTATGTATACTATGTTAATGTTGGATTTACAAGACACCAATTTTCAAGCCAAGCCGAGAAAATGTGTGAATTTTTATCTAAAAATAACAGGCAATTATCGACCATGGCTCCTTTCGATGTGATCGTCCGAGATGTAACACATGCCAGTTTATTGAGTATATGTATTTTGGTCCAAAAGGTACTGTTGCAGTCCAGAGTATGATTAGCTGCATCATTAATAATGTGAATTATTATTTATATTAATTATTACATGTAATAAATGCAGGAAACTTTTGGATCTGGGGGATTTCTTTGCTGGTACAATGTACATTTGCGGTATACTAGGCAAGAGAACCATCTTTATCTGGTGTCATTACATTTTAGTTCTAGGGGCC